ATCCAGAATATTGGGGGAGGGGGTAGCGGGGCAGGGCCAGCCCCTGGAAGGAAGCAGAGTGATGTCTGGGCTTGTTCTGGAAGCCCTGGGCTTTACCTGGTCAACCCCAGCCTCCTCAGGCCTGCTCACCATTTGGGGTGATGCCCGTCTGTCCTGTTTGTTCTCAGAGCTGCTCCTGGGACAGTGGAGCAGGTGAGAACTGTGAGACCCACTTGACAAATGGAGACACAGGCTCAGAGAGGGTGAGTGACTTACCTGGAGCCACACAGCAGGTACAGCTCCAGGTCCAGGGCTCTCCTGCCTATTCCAGCCTGAGTGTCCCGCTCTTCACTCTGCTTTGTTGACACCTTGGGCCTTGCAGGTTCTTGCAATGGTTCTCACCTTGACCTGCCAGGCACCAGAAGCAGATGGCCCTGGAAATAGCAGTGACTGCCTCAGGGCCAGTGTGTGCAGGGACCCACCCAGGGCTCATGAGGCCATGGAGGTGGGGGCGGCCAACGAGCAGCCTGCCTGCCTCTAGCGTTTCCCAGGGATACTGCTGGATGCGGATGCTGACTCTGGCGTCGGAGGGTGCGGATCCGTGCTGGGGTGGGCTCTGATCCCAGGAGGGTCCCCGGGCCTCCTGGGACTAATGTGTGCCACCCGGACTGCTGCTGGACGCAAGCAGACCGCCCGTGCTGCCACCTGAAGCAGCTGCTGAGCTCAGATGGCCGCTGTCCCCGTCACCTGGAGCAAAGCTTTTCCCACCTGGAGGCTGGCTCAGTGTTCCCATCCCTCCCTGAGGTGGTCTGAGCAACCGGACTGATTTCAGGGGGTTGCTATGGAGATAAAAGAAGGCAAAGCGTGTAAAGCGCCCAGCCCCAGACCTGCTCATGCGCAGGGCTTGGGGACAATGTTGGGGGGGACACAAAGTAATCAGACCTGGGTCCAGGCCTCCACCCCTACAGCCCAAGGGGCACCTGGCAGGAGCCCAGAGGAGGTTGCCTCACCCTGTCGGGGCTCCCGGGAGCAGGGGCATCCCCGCTGTGTCCGAGCGCGGGGAGCTGCGGACATGTGGACTTGGGCAGCAGCGGGCCAGCGCCCACCTGGGCGGGTATCAGGGAACCAGGTGGCTCCTCTACTCAAGGCTAGTGGTGTGCGCTGGAAGCAGCCGCATCTGCCCCCTGGGTGGGCCTGGCCAAGCTAGGCTGCGGGGAATGGCAGGTGGGGATGGGTGGGGTCAGATCCCAGGGGCTTGAAGTCATCTCAGAGGTCTGGTGAGCCGCCCGCATTTGCTGAGCAAGGCCCAGAGGTTCGAGGGGCTTCTTTCTAAACCCAACACCCATTTGTTCTCCTCTGGAGGAGGATGCGCAGACAGTGCACCGGGGGCTGGCAAATGGCCCCAGGAGTGACTGTCCCCCATCCCCCCCATGCCCGCACACACTGTGAAGCCCCACGAGGCAGCATCCAGCTCTGTGGGTTGGCACAGTGATGCTCCCAGCCCGTGGGGCTGTCGTGTGAATGACATGAGGTGTGTGTGCAGAGAGCAGGGGCCGTGAAGCCCCCGATCTAAGACCTAACGTCGCCTTCCGTGATTCTCCCCCAAATGCCACTTGCTCCCTGATCACCTCCCCCTTGTCGTCATGGCGAGACAGAGGGTTTGGCTCATTAAAACCAAATAAAAAAGGAATTAATGGGAGTGGCCGCCCTGTGAGTAACTGATGAGAAACTGGGAGTCTGTGCTGGGCATGGGTATGAACCAGGGGACGCTGGGAACTCGCACAAAGGATGGAAGGGAGGCTTTCGAGAAATGTCCTCCAAGCGCACGGGCCTCTGTGCCTGCTTGCCTGCCTGGGGGCTTCGGGACAGCAAGGCGTGGGAGGCACCAGTTTGAATTTTGGGCGGAGGAGGGTTGGGTGGCAGGTCCCAGGGCCTCCGAGGGAACGCCCACACTGTCCTAGCTCAGGCAGGGCTTGGTCGTGGGACTGGTAACTAACTCCATCGGCCAGGCCTCTGGGTGTGATTGCGCAATCCTGTGAGATTTCCACCCCACCTCCCGGGCGCTGAGCTTGGGACATGCCCTCTGTGAGGCCGGCTCCCGCCTGCGTTCACCTGCCGACCAGTCGCTGAGCCCCAAGGTTCACAGATCTTCCAAAAGCAGCATTTCCTCCCCAAGGGCCCCCGTCGGTGCCTCTTCTCTCCTCTCTTCTGCCCAAAGTCGCTTAGCTGCAAAGAGACCCTCCCTCGCTTTGGAGGGTTTTGATGCCACCGCCTGGGCTCAGATTCTGCTCCGGCCACTAACCCCTAGTCTGATAGGCTCACCTGCGGGCCAGAACAGTGATGAGCCTGCCTTGCACGACAGTCTGAGTGCTCGGTGAGAACAGACGTGAGCGTGAGGGTGTCTGGCGCACTGGGAGAGCTGGTGAGTGAGAGCCATGATTTAGGGCCGGCTCACTCCATCGTTCCCAGAGCCAGACAGGCTCGGGCACCAAGTCCACAGCCCTGGCCCTGGCACCAGGACAGAAAGCACCATGCGCTTCAGGAGATGTCTCCGGCCACCCACGACTGGCTCCCCCAGATCTCGACGGCCTCTTTCCTTCTTACGCTTGAGCTCATACTTCTAGCTCCAGGTCAGCAAACTGTTTCACACCTTGGCACCTTTGGTCCTGCCATGCCCACTGCCAGGAGCGCACACACCCACTGCACACGGCCACAGGCCACACAGACACTCCACAGACACACGCCATACACGTACACGCTCACACATGTCACACACACACTCATATGCACTTGCAGGGAGTTAACTCTAACCTCTTGTTAAGACTCCCTTTACCCAAGGTGTCACCTCCTCCAGGAAGCCTTCCCTGACTCCGCCCCTCACAGAGGCAGGTGGGGACACCCTTTGAGGTTCCTTGACCCCTGCGCCCCTTCTCGCAGAGCTCTGTGGTCACCTCCTTTCCTGGAACCCCCGACGTAGTTTACCGCATGCTCCCCTGCCGTGTGTGCCTCATGTGTCCACGTGTGTGAGTTTGTCAGGCCAGCAACAGTGGGGGGCTTGGTAACCTGATGCCCATCCTTTCAGATCACCTGGACCTAACTTGAAGCCAGGGAGGGGGAGCCCCATATTCTCCCTGTGCTTGACCCTGTGTCTGCCTGGGAGCTCCCAGCCAGCCCACCTCGACGTGCCCGGCTGGGGGCTCCTCGGTGCTCCCCAAAGGGCAGCTGTGCTGAGAGATGCTTCTCACAGGAGCGGTGCCAGGGCAGCAGAACCCTATGTTGCCGGTCGGCAGGCCGTGGGGGGTCGTGCACCGACCCGAGGCCGGGTGGGGGGCGGGTGTGGGCAGCAAGGGCCAGGAGAGGGGCAGGCAGGTGGCAGCCCTGTGTCCTTTGCAGACCCCAGTCTTGCTGGGGAGGAAGGAATGCCCAACACCACTCTCCCTTAGCTCTTTTCAGAGGAGGGACGTTTCCAGGGAGCTGTGGCCCCTCCTTTGCAGCAGTGGTCAACCAAAGCCTCCTCTGCACTGGGCCTCCAAGACCAGCAGGTCCTACCCTGGTCCTCAGCCCAGATGGGAGAAACCCCAGGGAACAGGAACCCCCCAGAGGGAGGGCCCCCCAGGGGAAGATCCCCCCAGCAGGCTGGTAGGTGAGGAGGTGGACCCCAGAGCACATATTCAAGGCCGATCACAGCGGGCATGCAGGCGGTGCTTAATGGATGTTCATGGAAAGGACATGACTTGACCTTCAACCCTCTCTCAATCTGGGGGTGATCACTCTAACTCCAGTAACGGGGATAGCAGTGGTCACAGGCACGGGGTCTGTGCAAGCACAGGGACCTCACTGATCTCCACGCCCACAGTGCCAGCCGCTGAGGGCCACACAGACCTGCCCGTGGCCTGCAGAGAGCCTCAGAGCTCAGGGGCAAGAGAGGCCGGGCCAGGGAGGCAGGATGCCCAGGGCCCAGCCGGAGCCCGTGGAGAATAAAGATGGATTAGCGCTGGATCCCTCCATCTGGGAGGCCACGGGCCCCTATGGAGCCAGGACGGCTCAGCGACAGGGCTAACCAGGTGAAAGGGGTCAAGTGCAATGAGGAGTCAGATCTGTGACTGAGGGAGAGGGGGCAGCCAGGGCCCCCTGCTGGCTGGCAGTCTGGAAAGGCTACCTGGAAGAGGCGGCGTTGGAACCGGCCTTGGAAGGTCATTAGGATTTGGGAAGGGGAAGGAAATTCCATTAAAGAGACCAGGAGAACCCAGGAGCACATGAGCAGCACCGGAAGGAAAGAGTTGTTGTTTTGGGCAGAGGACGGGGAGAGAGGGATGGGGAAGCCAGCTGGGCTCGGACGGAGGGCCTTCCCTTCCCAGCTCAGGCAGAAGAGAAGCAATGACGGTGCAGGGTAGAGGTGTCCAAACGGCACTGTGGGCCCCTGGGCTGGTGGCAGGGGCGTGAGGGAGCTGGGGAGGACTGGCACTCAAGGTCTGGGCAGTTCAGGGGGTCTCTGAGCCAGGCAGGGGTGCTGGAAGAGAGGAGAGGCCCAGGGAGCTGGGGCCTAGTGATGGGATGACGGGGTGGTCAGAGACAGGGAGGAGGCAACAAAGAGCCTGGAGTCGGGGCGCTCTGAGCTGCGTGGGTTCTGCCTGGTTCTCGGCTGGTGGGTGAGTGCGCCACGGAGATCCGCACAAGTGGCTGGTTCTCGAGGCGGGCAGAGGGGAGGGGGGCGGGGCCCAGACCCCACAGGCCTCCTTGCAGGGCCTGCCACGGCTCTCTGCCAGGGTTGGGGAAACTGCAGCTCTCCAGCCCAGGCTCTTGGGACAGGGAGAGAAGGTGACGGTGGTCTCACGTGCTGGTGGCAGGGCTGTGGGCACTGTCCTCACCATGGCCCCGCAAGACGGGATCCGTCGGCCCCACGTTGCTGAGTCAGCAGCTCAGAGAGGGCCAGCGCCCAGGCCAGGGGCGCACAGCGGGCCAGCAGCAGGACGGGGCTGAGACCCGCGGGGCCTCACCGTGCGCACCCGATCCCCCCGCAGGGAGCCGCGAGGCCGCGTTCACATATGCCATCACCGCGGCCGGCGTGGCCCACGCCGTCACGGCCGCCTGCAGCCAGGGGAACCTGAGCAACTGCGGGTGTGACCGCGAGAAGCAGGGCTACTACAACCAGGCCGAGGGCTGGAAGTGGGGCGGCTGCTCGGCCGACGTGCGCTACGGCATCGACTTCTCCCGGCGCTTCGTGGACGCCCGTGAGATCAAGAAGAACGCGCGGCGCCTCATGAACCTGCACAACAACGAGGCCGGCAGAAAGGTAGGGCGGGCGCCGGGCCGGCGGCCCCGGGTGGGAGTGGGGGAGCGGTCGGGGCAGGGGGAGCGGCTGCGGCCCCACCTGGGCTCTGCCCCGCCCTGAGCCTCTGGGGGGGCGGTGCTTGGGGGCCGGGACCCCGGAGCTGTGTGGTTGGGGGCACTGGGCACGATGTCCCGCCTGACCCTCCCGGCAGCTCTAAGATGCGGGCCTGACTTTTCCCCTTTCAGAGGTCCGAAGACTGAGGCTGGGAGTGGGGCTCCGGTCCTCAGCGGCTGGGTGGCAGGGTGGAGACCAGGGCCGAGGGTGGGGGTGGCCCCTGGGCCACAGTACTGTGTCCCTGCCCTGGTACCAGACGGGTCGTACCAGCACACCGGGAAAGCTTCCTGGAGGAGGCTGCCTTTGGCTCAGATGGCCCTGACAGCCTGGAGGAAGGGATGTTCCCAGGAGGCTGGAGCAGCCTGAGGAAGAGTGGAAACTCCAAGCGGGGGGCTCTCGAGGAGCTGCCAGCTTCACACCTGGGGCGGAGCAGCGTGGTGGGGCAATAATGGAGGACGTCCGGGCAGGACCACACTGGGGCAGAAGTCAGGGCGAGCCTGGCCGCATCTCAGGGAGATGAGGGCCCCAGATACTGGGCTGGGAGGAGCAGCCGCCATGGCGGCAAGATGTCCCGAGATAGGACGCCAGCCGAGCGGAACGCCTCTCCAGGTCTGGCTCCCCAGCCCCGGGGGCTGCGCCCAGGGCACCAGGGCCTGTGGGTGTCTGCAGGCATGAGACGGATGTGCCTGCCCTCTGCCCCAGGGACCACTGCAGAGGCCACCCGTTGCTCGCTCATTCACTCAACAAACACTCCCTGCCCCTTCTCTGTGCCAGTCGTGGGGAGACAAGGAGGAGGGAGACACTGCCCTGGCCGTGGGAGCTCCCGCGGCACCAACAGGTCCACATGAGGGGTGCAGAGGACATAGCCAGGAGCTGCGAGAGCGTGGAGATCCCGAGGGAGGGAGCAGAAGTTTCTGGGGGGTGGTGATGTCCAAGCAGAGCCTTGAAGGACACGTCGGCGCTGAGAAGAGCCCAGGCAGAAGGAGTAGGCACTCGGAGCAGGGGCGGGCTGCTCAAGAAGTAAGCAAATGCTGGGACAGGCCTTGAAGGCCAAGCCAAGGGATCGACTTTATCTTGTAGTCGTAAGCAGCCAGTGGTTATTAAATTGTTGGCAAATGGATGGACGGACGGATGAATAAAAGAAGGAGTGACACAGTCTTTGCCTCTAAGGAGCTCACAGACAGCCTGTAGGGACAGTCTGATCTCCATCTGTACCAGGGGAGGCAGAGGAAGGCAAGGTTCACGTCTCTGGAAGTATGAGGAGGGCTCCCTGGAGGAGGAGGTGCGCTGAGCCCTCGACGGGACCACCGCCCCTTGAGCCTCTGCCATAGCTTAGGTCCCGAGGAGGGGCCTTCCAGCACCCCTGGGAGGAAGGTCTCACTATCTCCATTTCACGCATGAGGACATGGAGGCCCACGGTGGGCAGCAGAGGCCCTGGTGGCTCCCGAGGCCTGAGCTCTGGTTGGCGCTTGCGGAGAAGTGTCCGAGGAAGCAGCAGAGATGTGGGGAAGGGCACTCCGGGCAGAGGGACCAGCACAACCGAGGCAGGGCTGGGGGGCTGGGGTGGGTGGGGTGGGGGTGCGACTCGGGTCACATGTGCGGTGCAGTGAGGCTGCTGGCCCAGCTCAGGGGCAGGCGAGGAGGCTGGCGTGTGCGACGGGCTCCTTGGTGAAGGGGCCACGACAGCCACGCTGGATTCTGGCCTCTGGGCCACAAGCATCACGGCAGGTCCCCGAGGCAGTAATGCTAGTGGCTTGAGGGCCAGGGGGCTTGGGTGTAGGAGGGTCAGCACGTCGGGTTTTGAACCGTGAAGCTGGAAACAGAGATGGGGAGTAAGGGAGAGGCAGGTTGTGGGGGAGAGGGCCCAGCAGGGCAGGGAGGCTGCAGGAAAGGGCTCTACAGGGGTCAGCAGCCAGGATTCTGGGGCTAGCACTGTCCCTGCCTGTCTGCAAGTCCTCTTCTGAGCCTCAGTCTGCTCATCCGTACAGTGGACATAATGTACCTTGTCCCCTTCCCCTGCTGTCCTTCCCACAGCCCCTGATCCTGAGCTGTGGAGCCTACCTGTAACCTGAGTCCTTGGCAAAAGCCACTGGGAGTGGCAGCTGTGACCCTGGGGGGCAGGGGTCCTTCTGCTCCCAGCAGCTCTGATCATGGTGGTAGTGGTGGGGTGGGGGGCTATGGCTTTGAGGTTTCCATAAGAACTGAGTCCTGATCTAAGAACTGAGTCTGGATCTTCTTTCTGGTCCCCATCATAGTTTGTCTAGGCTACCTCTGGCCCTCCAGGGCCAGAGTTCAGCAAGTTGGGTGGGAAGCAAGCTCACTGGTGCCACATGAAGTCCCACAGCCTGGAGGGCTCAAAGCAACAGAAATTTATTCTCATAGTTCTGGAGCCAGAAGTCCTAAATCCAGGTGTCAGCAGGGCCGCACCCTCTGATGGCTCTGGGGGAGGACCCTACCTGCCTCTTGGCGGCTCCAGAGGCTCCTTGGCTTGTGGCCTCATCAGCCTCATCATCCTGTCTGCCCCCATTTGCAAATGGTCTCCAGCTCTGGGTCCGATTTTTCTTCTGTCCCTTACAAGGACATGTGTCCTTGGGGTTAGGACGCACCCTGATCCAGGATGACCTCATCTCGAGACTTAATTACACCAGCAAAGAACTATTTCCAAATAAGGTCGCATCCTGAGGTTCCGAGTGGGGAGACATTATTCAGCCCACCATGCCCCCGGTGGGCCAGGGTCAGACAGGCTGAGCAGGAGACCCGCTCACTGCTGGCTTCTGCGAGATTGAGGCCAAGGCCGCCCTGCCTAGCCCTCCCGTGGGCAGCGTGGCCTTTCCTGAGCAGCTACCGTGCTGTGTGGTCCCGAGTAGAGGGGCGGCAGGTGCAGAAGGAGGTGATGCCTGAGCAGCAGATCTCTGCACCTACCAACCCCGAAAGGCAGGAGCCTGCCCAGCTGGGAAGACCTGGGGGCTGTTGCCAGGAGGGCTCCGGGCTCCTCTCGTGGGTGACAGAGATCTGAAGTCATTGCTGACGAGGGCCCCGAGCACTGGGAGCTCGGGCAGGACCCCCATCAGGTGGCCACAGCTCTTACCTGACCTCGTCTAGGCTCCAAGCTGGTCCTGCCCCAGGGGGCACATCATTCCGTTATCTGGATGAAAACCCAGGGTCCAGGGAGGGGTGACTTACGCGAAGTCCCCGGCTGAGAAGCTGCTGGCCACGCTGGGCCCCCAGGAAGTTGGGGCCACCTGGCCCCCTCTCTCCCTCATGGCCTGGACTCTTCACTTGGTGCCCACGCCCATCACACTGCGGCCTGGACGAGAGGGTGAAGCCGACGTGGGCCTCACCCCCCCCAGGCCCTCACACACCCACGGAGGGTCAGGACACCACTGAGGGCCCAGAAACAAATGTGTGAGGCATGCCACGGCCCAGGGTGTGTGCCACTTCCCTCCCACCTGCCCGAGGCATGGTGGGTCACGTGCCTTCCGTGGGTGCCAGGACTGTGACCACCCCCCACCCCCAGCCTGGCCACAACTGAGCACTGTTCCCAGAGCCTGGGCCACACCCTTATTCCAGAAAGAATACCAGCTTGGCCTTTTTCTGGAGGCCCCCATTCCACCCCCCCACGACCCGGGTCGAGGAAAACCGAGGCCCCACTCCCCTGGGCGAGGCCGGGTCACTCTACACCCTCCCAGGGTGGTCTCCTGGGGCAGCAGGGCTGGCGCCACCATCGCTGTCACTCTTATCTCGAGGGCGCTGGAGACGGAAACGGCACATTCTTGAATCCTGTGATCACTTCCCAGGACAGGCTCGGTCCCAGGGGACCCAGCCAAGCGAGGATGCGGCTCCCTGCTCTGCAGACAGCTGCCCAATCGGCTTCATCTGCCGACTGTCACCGGCCTGGCCGCGCAGGGTCTGAATGTGCCTGGGTGGGCAGACAGCGGGGCAAGCGGCGGGGGCGGGGCTGCACGGGCTTGATGAGGACGGGGAGGTGGGGGCAGGTGGCAGGGCGAGGGGGGGGGCAGCCTGGGCCACCTGGCCTGGGCACCCCTGGCAGGTCTCAGGCCATCACGGCCTATCTGAGGAGGAATCATCTGGGCCAGCAGCCTGGGGTGGGGTGCACTGCCCCCCACGCTGGGGACTCTGAGTGGGGCACCCATCTGGTCCGTTCTTGGCCTGAGGGGCGGACACGGTAGGCAGTGCGGCCAGGGCAAGAGAAGCTTCCTGGCCTTGAAGGGCAGGTTGGTGGGGGAAGGGTCTTTCTGGGGAGGGGAGAGTTGAAGCAAAGAGGAACATGGGGTGAGGGTGAGGGTGAGGGAGGGGAGAGGATGGACAGGAGTGCGGGGAGAGCGGCAGGAAGCAGACAGGATATTCTTTCCCCTGGAGGGGGTCCCACCCTTCGCCTAGACCCCCAGAGCAGATTTCCGGTCCATGCCCTCAACCCAGACACCCTGTGGCCCTGTAATTCCAGTTTGGAATATTCCTTCCTCCTGACACTGGGGCCCTCCCCTGCTCAGTCCTCCCCTGGTGGACCATCAGCCTCCCCCCCTCCCCCCATCCCAGCCTCCCGGGTCTCCCCCCCCAGGACATCATCCACAGAATGCTGGACCAGGGAATCCGCCCCCCACCCCAGATCCAGGACATCAGCCTCAGGGCTCACCCAGCACCCACATGACGCTCATGTGGGCTTGTCTGCACTGCACCCTCCAGGAACATCCTCCTCTCTGCCTAATGAGCAGCTCCTCCTTCTCCATCCACACTCCATGCAGGCACCCCTCCTCCAAGAACCCCCCTTACCATGGCAGGGGGCGGCTCCCAGAGCCCCCACCTGACAGTTTACGTAGGCTCCTCTTCTGTTCCCCATGCTGGACTGTGAGCCCCCGAGGTCCCTGCCCAGGACCAGAGGTCCATGAGGGCAGGGCAGGGAAAGTGATCCGGATAGCGGCTGGCCCTGTGGGATGTTCCTCATTCATTCATTCATTCACTCATTCATTCATCCATTCACTGTGGGGCTCCTAGTCTGGGCCAGGGCTGGGGTTCTGGCCCAGGAGGCAGGGGGTGGCCAAGTTCCCTCAGGGCTGGGCTGCCCAGGTGAGGCCAGCGGAGCCGGGACAGCTGACAAATGGCCCTTCTTCAGCCATGGGGCGGCAGCTAATGATTCCCCATCTTTAATCAGGCCGGCTGGCAGGGCCCTTTCGATCCAGGTAAATGAGTACCTGGGGTCAGGGCTGGCTCTGGGAATCGGTCTTCCGGGACCATGGAGGGAGGCCCAAGGAAAACACACGGCTGCGCCCATCGTGGGCCCTCGGGGAGCTGGGAAGAAAGAACAACACTGTCGGGGGCTGGCTTCCCAGCAGGTGGCACGCCTGGGCCTCGCTGACCCGTGCCCTCACCTCCTGCTCATGCACCCCCTCTCGTCCTTCAGCAGACGTGCACAGAGCTCCATGCAAATACCACACTTCCACTGAACAGCCATTTATTAGGCACCAACTACATGCCGGGCCCTACCCTGGGCATGAGGGCAGGGAGTACAGAGACGGAGAGATGGGGATCTGCAATTAATAAGCACCTACTGTAGCTGGGCCGGGATCACCATCAGGCACCTCCTCCCCACCTGGCTGGGCGCAAGCCCCACGCTCCTGACCCTCAGTTTCCCCATCAGCGCATTGACCTGAAGGATTGTGAGAATTTAGTGAACCACATTTGATAAACATATACTGTGCTCTGCCAAGTCCTGGACATTCTCATTGCACCCTCACAAGGTCCCCTGCAGTAGGGACCTATGGTCAGCAGCCCCATTCCATGGATGAGGAGAGGGAGGCTCAGCAGGGGGAGGCACTCAGGCGTGGTCCTGCAGCGGGAAGTCGGGGTGCCGGCTCCGGGCCAGGCTGGAGGCAAGGGCAGGCGGGGGCGGGGTGCCCAGGCGGTTGTGGCGGGGGGTGTCCACGCACACCGAGCTCCTGCCCTGTCGCCCGCAGGTCCTGGAGGAGCGCATGAAGCTGGAGTGCAAGTGCCACGGCGTGTCGGGCTCGTGCACCACCAAGACGTGCTGGACCACGCTGCCCAAGTTCCGCGAGGTGGGCCACATGCTCAAGGAGAAGTACAACGCAGCCGTGCAGGTGGAGGTGGTGCGGGCCAGCCGCCTGCGGCAGCCCACCTTCCTGCGCATCAAGCAGCTGCGCAGCTACCAGAAGCCCATGGAGACGGACCTGGTGTACATCGAGAAGTCGCCCAACTACTGCGAGGAGGACGCGGCCACGGGCAGCGTGGGCACGCAGGGCCGCCTGTGCAACCGCACGTCGCCGGGCGCAGACGGCTGCGACACCATGTGCTGCGGCCGTGGCTACAACACGCACCAGTATACCAAGGTGTGGCAGTGCAACTGCAAGTTCCACTGGTGCTGCTTCGTCAAGTGCAACACCTGCAGCGAACGCACCGAGGTCTTCACCTGCAAGTGAGCGCCGCCCCGCCCCGCAGGCACGCACGCGCACGCGCACGCGC